AAAATATTATGTTATGTTATTGTCAATAGCCACTTCAAAATTATTAATTTAGAAAAACAAGGTAAAAAGGCAAAACCAAATCTCCCATACTTCCTCTATTGAAAGTCTTATTTACATTTTTAATTAACCTCGAAAATATCTCAAAGGCTGTGAAAATAACAAATTGGTGATATTATTATTAAGCTTTGGGTTTTATTACTATCCTGTGATTTAATTGTGTATATTTTCTTCAGTAAAGAACAATAATGATAATATGAAATTAGTTTTTACAGTAATAGGCCACGTTTAAGGAGTTAATAACAACGATAATTCCTTAGAAGAAAATTAGCAATTTAACATGAATTTAGTTATTTTACTTACCCGCTACTGCTATGACTTTTGCAGGAAAATATGCTACACAACTTTCACTTTCAATATCATCAGTTTTTGTTGTTGAATCGAAACATAAAGAACTAGTAGTACCAGGTCTAACTCTAATGTTAGAACTAGAACTAACGTTGGCTTCGTTATATCTTTCGTCACCATATGCAACATGTCTATTAATACTGTTATTTTTACTGTTTTTAATAGTATCACTATTACTACACTGAGTCTTACTTGAACTTAAAGTAACATTAGGCCCAATAGCCTTAACGATATTGTTCGAAATTTTCCACCGGACTTGTACTTTAGCATTAACAAAAACAGATGGGTTTTCTTCATTTTCACATCCTTTAATCAAATTGCTACGACAAATTTCAATTGAATTACTATGGTAAAAGTATACTAGCACAAACTTCATTTCTGACAACAGTTCAAAACTGTAAAATTAATCTAAAGTTGAACTTTAATATAAATTCTAGTAATAACCATAATTTGACATTGATAATATGTACATATGAACATTCTGCTGATGAATTAAGTTATATTTAGAGTATGGAAAAGAAAAGCAGTCAATATATATTACGAAATGCGGGTTAAGCGCTAGATATTTTGCCGCCCTATGCAAGTTTCAATTTTCCTGTACCTACACCTTCCAATTTTACTTTAAGTAGTGTAACAGAAACGGAGGCCCACAAAACAAATCAAATTCATTTACATTTATTAAAGCCAGAAGAAATGTTACAGTTAGCGTGTGAATATCGTACTAGTTCAACATTTTACAATTATATGAATTCTATTTAATTTTTTGCTTTCATTGACGCAAAAACGCACATTATTTGTTTCAAGTTCAGTATTTGGGTAGTTTCGTGCTCGTAAGAAATTGCTGAAAGTCTTGTTTGTGTCATAGTTGACCTCGAATAGGTTATAACAAATTGGAATTTGGAAATTTATTTGCTAGAAACGGTAATGGGCAAGTTGGAAGTAAGTGCAATAATATCACCGGCATACGACGATTGTAACCTGCTCTTGATCATGTATTTCAAAACACACATAAGATCAGTTTAGTAATTTTCCGTGAAAGGGCCTGCACTAAGTTCTTGACACAGTTCTGTTCTAGCATCGATTCCTTACCAGTTGACAAACTGATATGGAGATTCATGCAGTGCTTGAGCAAATCCTCTGAGCCATTTCCAAAACGTTAGCAACGCAGCATGGAAACTGAGCAGTGTTTCTGTAGTTGTTACAACCTCTCTTCCAAAGAATACGTAACCGTATCGACAGCTTGGGACCTTATGTTAGTCCTAGTAAGATTCATGCATTAATACTAACTGTAACTTACGATTTGTTTCAGTGAAAGTAAGAAAAGTAAAATTTCCATAATTTTAAAATTTTGAGTTGGTATTTGCGTATTTATCACCACTTTAACATTTCATAGACTTTAATAACTAAATATAAATACATTTTATTTGTTATCCTGCAATTTTATTACAAATGAAAATCAAACTGGAGGGAAGCAGACTAAGCAACAGATTGAAATTTTGGAGACAGCGATAGCCCCAGGCTTGCCAGCCAGTAATCCAATAAATACAATTAGGTACCAGTATAGTGTAAGCCCCAGCACATTCATTATATTCAGTATGGTTTTACTGTTTTATATAAGTACGATACGCAGCATACAAAATATGGTGTCATTTTTCCTCTTAGTTTAGACAGGTGAGCATTTCTAATTTACCCATAATTAAAAAAAACAAACTTTCCAACATAGGAGTGTTTCAGTGGGCATATAGATATAAGAATAGAGAGATAGTTCTGAAATGTGGTTATATTGCTGTCGTCCTAGTTACCTATTATCTTAGGTCATTTCCCTATTGGTATCAGGTACGCTCTCTAGTGGGAAATAATGAGGTATGAATGCAATAGTTAAATACATCATTTAGATTTCGGCAGTAGTCTTAACCATTAGCGAGTCTTGTGAAGCCTAGAAGTAATAAACTCCTTATTTTTACTTATTGATCGACCAGCGTAATGAAGGAAATAGTAAGGAATTTATCTTTCCCATAACAAGTATAGAATATAATTTTAATTAGGAATATTCACGTAATATGTTTCTGAACTTCCATGTAGTTTCTGCATGTATTTGTGACATTCCCTTTGAGAGGATGTCTCAAGGTTGCAAACTGTGCTAATTCTTTTACAATGGTACATGCTACATGTTGTAATCTTTGTTTTTAAGTCTCAAGCTAACACGTATGCCTTTCTCTGTAAATTTATTGGAAGATAATCTATTCAAACAGGCAGCATAAAGACATGTACAGTGACTTGGCTAAAGATTAAGTGTAGACCATTGGAGTTATGGAATATCTTACTAAGGGCAATGCTTTGTTTCAACATGATACGTGTCGCTTATTTCCAGAAATCTCTATTAGTTTTTGGTTCTTGTTTTCCAGCTTACTTGTCTTCGACTTCACTAAGCAGATAACACAGAAAAAGCCTGGCCAGTTTTGGTAAAAGAACACTGTGTAATTAATGAAGAATTTTATGTTTGAAATAACACACATTTGGAAATGCTTGTTTACTATCTGGATTCAGTTTATTCTTTGCTTACTATCATGAACCTGCATATTGCGAATACTTTAAGATTTTTCTGCTGGATATCAGTGTACATAAATACCACATCAAGAATTATGTGGATAACTCATGCACACTGAGAGAAATGGGTTTATATACATATATATGAAGGTACATATTCACCAATAAATATCTCTCTCCAATATCGTCCAATGCAAGTGTTTTGCTGAATCGTTTTTTGCTCACTATAAACATTAAGAGTTTAAAATAACTTGTTTTCACCACCAATTTGTATTCAGTCTAGCTAGCTCTTCAGTAAATCTAGTCAGATAAGAAGTGCAGTTGTAATTCTGAAATTCATTTTTTCCCAGTCTTCATATTTCTGCAGTTACTATTCTTATCTCTGATGTAAATTAATTTATCTGTGAATACCACAGAAGCATTTATGTATTTCAATTTTTATTCTTTGCAATACATTTCCTTTGAATCTGCTGCTTCTGCGAGCTTAGTATTTACCTGTTGGATCCAATTTAACCTGTGAGTAAAAAACCTGTTACGTATCTGCTTGTTTGTTAATTTCCGGCAGACATTCTTTCCGAGGAAT